AAATGATTTGATTTGAGAATGAATTTTAATAGATTTGAGAATGATTTTGTGTTATAAATACAAAGGTTGAAATTTTTATCCAAACCTTGTTATTTTGAATTGGATTTGACAAAACAAACTATTGTAGTCACAATCTTCTCAATACACACCTAATATATTTTCATATATCTACAATTATTCATTCCAATGTATGATAAAATTAGTATTTTATGTTTATATGATATAACAATTTTTCATGATTCCATGTAAATAAAAACGGACTTTTAATTGAAAATAATTATTGAATAGCTGACTTTTAATTAAATAAATAAAAAACTTCATATAATAATTGATTTTTTTTATGTGACCAAACAAAAAAAATAACTGACTATTTCATGATTTCATAATAAATAAAAACTGACTTTTAATTAAATAAAAAAAAATTATTGAAGAGAAAATTGCAATTATAAAAAAAAAATTGTCGTTTATATCATAATACTTAATGTCAATTTTATTTATTTTACAATATGTTTTTATATCTAACTCCACTTTACTTGGTTTTTAAATCCATTTCATTTGATTTCTAAATCTTTATCACTTGATTCTTAAATCCACTAAATTTGATTCTCAAATCCAATTTATTGATTTTGAGATCTATATAGAATTCTAAATACTCATAGATTTCCAAATCTATTAAATTATGTGAACCAATAAATCCCACTTGGATTACCTAATTTATCTTAACACTAACGTTGTCAGGTAAGGTAACTTTCAGTACAACGTTAATATTCAGGTAATTTAGGTAATCCAAATAAATTTATTATTTACACTAATACTGTAAAACAAACACAATAGGATAAGATAACATTTTTCATAACAATTACTCTACATCTTTTGCAATCATTCAACTCTTTTACAACACCATCTCGACATCTCCTATTGTTAAGGATTTAACGCCTAATTAAATCCTGTCACAAACTATTTGTTCGATTCGCATATATTAAACACACAAAGAAATTGAAACAACGAACACCACAAATGTTCACCCTGAGTTCACTGAACCTACATCTCAGGGGTGGAGACTGACCTCCACAACTGCATCCACTATGAAGATTGGTAAACACCTCAGATGTGGTTTACACAAGAAGATCATTCACTCTCTCTATCTTTGATTAAACAATATGAGGGAGTACAAAGAGAAAACAAAGAAGAATGAATATAACGAGCAAAGCCTAAAGACGAAGAAACACCATATCTCGTCCTTTAGCTTTCTCTTGCTCTACGAGCTGCCTTTGAAGCGCTTGGAATCGTCCGGATTATGAGAAATTTCAAAAAATACCACTTTTCAAGTGCCACTTTTAAAAAATGCCACTTTTAAACAAAAAAAAAATTCATTATATCATTTATGTTTGGGTTAACTATGTTGTA